TTTGGTGTAGTGATTAAGCCTTCAGACTAGAAACTGGGAGACCGTGAGTTCTAGTCGTGCCTCAGACACAAAGCCAGCTGGGTGGCCTTGGGCCAGTCACTCTCTCTTAGCCCTAGGAAGCAGGCAATGGCAAACCACATCTGAAATCTTGCCAAGAAAACTCCAGGGACTAGTCCAGGCAGTTGCCAGGAGTCAGCACTGACTTGAAGGCACCTATACATATACATACTGGTTGAGCCACTGTCATTGAGATGCAAAAGGTTAAGTACAGTCAGCTCTTTACCTGGCACTGAAATAAAGCCAGTATGATTTCCTGGGAGTAATGCATTGGCATTCCATAATTTGGATGTCAATGCCAAGAAGGTGGTCTCTTGGGTCTCCTCCTTAATGTACAACTCTCATTGAGGGGACTCAAAGGAGATGTCCCTAGGTGGAGCTCAATTTGGGATGGGGCGGTCGGGGGGAGATATACAGGAAAGATATACAGACAGAATTGCAGAAAAGTCTACTAAAATAACCAGGGACTTTGAGCAGCTCCACTCTGGAATGGGCTACAATGTTTAGTTTAGAGAAAAGGCTAGCTCAGAGGCAGGTCATCATCATGGAGGCATGGAGACACTTGATAGGTGTCAAGCCATGTATCAGACTATGCATGGCATAGAGAAATGCTGATCAACCCAGAAAGTTGCAAGTAAATACGCTTCCTTGAAGTGTCTGGGCAGCCATACTGAACCCACTGGAGGGTGATTACCCAAGCACTGAAAGAAGATGGGGACTTTGTTCCTGCCAATATGCTTTGTGAAGTACCCCTTAAAATATCTACTTCAGCCAGGATTACAAATTAGTGCTTTGAAGTATTTGTTCTGCATCATGTCTTCATACCAATTTTAATCTGAATGGCATGAGTGGTTGCTTCATCATAGGCAAGGCTTCCCTCTTATTAAAGAGTCATTCATATTTGTCCAATAGCTTGACCCAGTTACAAGGAGAAAAAAGTGGTATTGTTTCCCTCAACGGTATCTTTTCAGTGCCACTGACTGATCATTTCTCTGAAGTAGTTTCTCTCAGACTACATCCTGAGCATAAGGTTGATCTTTAGGGAGCTGAATAATGGCTCTCTTTTATTGTGTGTATTTTCTAGAGAGAAAAGAAAAACATCCAGGAACAACCTGTTTGGCAACGGGCCCCGCTTCACCCAGCAATGATTGACAAAGCTCTTGGAAAGCACATTACGGCTGTCACTTTGAAATCAACCATCAAAAGCAACCCTCTCTATGATGGGGTCCTTGCCGATGATAGTTGGGAGAAAAGGAGAAATAGTCCATTGTGGATGGTCCAAGATTATGATAGGCATTCCCTCAACTCTAGCCTGCCTTACTATCTAAAGGTACAATTCCCACTACTACAGAAACAATAATCTGTGATTCTATGCAACTGAAGAGTGAGGGGGGAAAAGCACAATAATTATAGAATAAAAGAGAAAAGTGAAGCAAAATGATGGGCTTGGGAACGGGGTATACTATCCATTTCTCCTTTTGGAGGTCAAAAGGTTAGGCAAGATGGCCTATCTTTCACATCAAAGAATCTGTCAAAGGGAATGGACAGTATTTCTCAACATGGCTTTTTAAGTGTCAGGAAGTACGGGTCTGTTGACTTAATACTGGTTTTCCCCATTAGCAACTTGAAAGTATAGTATTACCACTAACCCCATGGCAGTTTTATTTAGTATTTAATTACAACAGTACTCAAAAAAATATACAAGGACAGAAAGCAATATTTGTGGTTTCATTTCATTTAGTTTACATTTAATTAACATCAAAATTAAATACAATTTGTATGATTACTCCTACAGATATAATAATGTTCCCTTCTATTGTCTCACATGTTACAATTTAGTGAAATTTTTGGAAATTCCCTAAAGATTTGGTGGGGGGGGGGGGTCTACATATGGCTATCCATCTCTGCTTTAAGAATGCAATGTTCATACGTAAGAATGTGAAGATAAAAAATAGACTGAAACAGTAGTATAATATTTTTCCCCACTTTTCCAAATGCTACCAAGGTTGACACAATTTTTGAAACCATGTTGGGATCCACTCAAATCACCAGATTTCTTGAAATGGAGTCAACAGACATGTAGTCTTGTTTGATACATATACATATTGATGTCATCAAGCAGGAAAGGAAGTTGCTTGACTTGTCTAGATATAATGATCATGGTGAACCAAATAGGTTCTTATGGTTGATGGTGCTTCACCTTTTGGATTTTTTTCTTAGGAAAGTTTGTTTTATTTGCCCTTAAAATGTTTTGAGTCCTAGACAAGAAGAAGTCTTTTCATTGGCCCAGACCATTTAGATTTTTTTCAAGTTGCAGATTTTAACTTTCATTGTGGCCTAGCCTTAGATCTTAATTTCTTGTATTATTAAAAAAAAAAAACAACAAGAAAGAAGGAAGGGGAAGAATTTCTTTTATAGAAGGAGCTTCTCTATATGAAGCAAAAACAAAGATGCAATGTGTTTAATTTTTTTTTAAATTGTTGTAGCTCATTTGTGAGTCTCTAAGCTAAGACTGGGTTTCAGTGCTTAGCAAATAAGTCAGCAATTAATAGACGATCTGCCCTATGCCTCTCTTTGGATGGATAAAACATTCCAATATAGGAGAGTATAAGTAGCTCAGGGTTGAACTGTTTGCAGATGTTTCATTACCCAACTAGGTAATATCATCAGTGCACTGATCATGTTACCTAGTTGGGTAATGAAACATCTGCAAACAAGCAACCAAGCTCAGAGAGCACCAAGGATTCCACAGATAAAACTTTCTTGTTCACCTAGCCCAGGATTAGCAATTGGTGTCCTATTAATTCCATGCTGCTTTCTCAGCAATTCTGTGACTTCTGTCGTCCCCCCAAATGCATCCAGTAGAAGCCATGATGACATTGTTATGTCGTGATGTTGTTGTGCAAATGATACAAATTCTTCATTCACGTCAGTTGTATGATGAAATGCATATGCATCTGATGTACATGTGATGTCAGTTGACCTTTTCCCTCCTGTGGAAGCCCATGTCCTCAAGATAACTCCATCAAAATTCAATGTGATTTTTCATTCTTTAAAAAAAAACAAAAAACAGTTCAGTAGCTGCATTAACCTATTTACTGAAGATAGAAATGAAAAGAGATACGTTAAAAAAAAAGAAGGGGTCTCCAATTGAAATCACTGAAACATGGTTATGTTGTTCACAAATACAAAAGGTCAAATATAGGTTATCAAAACAGTGTAGTCCACAAATACAAAAAGATTATTCACCCCCCATCTGAAACATAAGGCAGGGAGACAGTATGATTTTATGCCCATGGCTAAATACAGTTACTGTACGTATGTTGCATTCAGGAAAGGGGATGTGATTCATTATTAAGTATACAGTGATAGCCTAATTATATCTAATTGTGGTCCATGCATAAGAAAATTCAAATTAATTTTCTTATAGGAAAATCCAAACGATTTACAGTACTGGATGGAAGATGTTTACACTCCAGGATACGATACCTTGTTGAAAAAGAAAGAGAGAGAAGGAAAACAGTCCAGACACTGTCTTATCATGCTCCTTGTATTGCTAGTTGGCACCGTGATAGCTGCTGTAACAGCCTGCATCGTGTTTATCTGATAAGCCAAATCCAGCTATTAAAGCTTATTGCACAACACTTTCCATTTTCTTTTACATTTCTTTTACTAAAACGTTACTACTGTTGAGATAAATAAAATAAGTCAGTCTTGTTTTAATTTGATTCCCATGATTTCAGAAGGAACTACAGTAAATGCAACTAACTTGATCTGGGTCCAATTCTCTCATTTGCTTTTCACCAATGATCTATAAAATCTCCTATAGCAAGGCAATCTAAAATCAACAAGTGATGATGGCTTTAAGTTTACATCTGAGGGAAAACATTTGTTAATGAATCAATGTAATATATATTACTCTACAAACTTTCCTCAGAAGTACTTTGGAATTGCAACTATTCTGCAGATGTAAAATGTCCATCTGTCATGGGACTCTAAAGGTATTGATGTGGTTCACACATTGCCTTGGATCATAATGTGGTACATTTTTAAAAAATAAATCATGGCTTATGGCTTAGTGTGTTTTGTGAATCCGAGTAATTGTGGTATATTCAACAGATAACAGTTATGCTAAATTTATTTATTTATTTATCAAATTTATATAGCGTCCATCTCACAAATGTGACTCTGGGTGGTGTACAATAAGGTGAGTTAAAGCAATTAAAACAGTTAAAAACATTAGTCACAATTACAAATAAAAATAGAATAAACAATAAAAATAAAATGATGGGAGATTGGACCAGGATCCTACATACAATATAATCATCTTGCAGGGTCCCCATTTCTCTGGGATCCTCAAGCCTGCTGAAAAAAACAAGTTTTCAGGGCTTTCCTAAATGCCAGTAGGGTTGGGGCCAACTTCACCTCAGGTGGAATGATGTTCCACAGGGTGGGTACCATGGCAGAAAAGGCCTGCCTCTTGGGTCCTGTCAGATGAAGCTCTTTAGAAGACTGGACCTGTTACACGCCCATCCTGCTGGACATGATGGGATGGATAGGTGTAACTGGGCAGAGGTGGTCCCTCAAATATCCCAGCCCCCTGCACACATAACTGCCCGCACTGCCAGATTTGCACCAGCTGAATCTTCTGGATGTTCTTCAAGGGTAGCCCCATGTGGAGTTTAATAAATAATTCCCAGCTTAATATACTATGTGAATCCTAAATTTTTTAATAAAAAAATTAGCAAAGGCATAAGCCTATAGGCAACATCTTCCTACCTCAGACAGGGCCCATCTGGTTTCACAAGCAAAGCTTGGAAACAAGAAGCCTGTCCACTACTTTCCCTCAGCAACTGATAGATTTTTTTTTTTTTGACCTTTGCAAACTTCTTTATTATCGTGGCTAAAAGCTACTGAAAGGACTATGGTCTGGCCTCCAACTCAATTGGAGCGAATTAAGTCCGTGTTCATTGGCATATCTTGTCATCCATAGGTCCTACAACTAAATTGCTATATCTGGTAAATACAGAAAGACTTTCTTTTATCTGTGTTATCTGCCCATCAGTTTTATTGGGCACCAAATGCTGGTATTAGGAAAGACAGAAACATATTCAAAAACTCAGTACATACCATTTTGTTTATATTTTTAAAGCAAACCATTCTAATATTTTATCTTTTCTGTATCATGAAGGTTCTCTGACACTTTGGTAATTCTGACTAAATGTCTGTATACTTTTAGCGATATTAGCTTTTATGAGATTAGAAAAGAAAGACAAGCTTTACGCCTCATTGGCTTGGTTCACATCTTCTTTAAAATCACTTAAGCTACTGCATAGATGCATTTTATGAGAACAGCACCTGAAAATTGGATGACTAGAAATATGCCAAATACTACACAATTGCAGTAGATAGAATAAGATACAAATCAGGTAAAAAATTAATTATAGGCTAATTGGCTTCTTTTATCATGGATTATCTACTCACCTACCCTTCATAGCCTAATTTTTGCATATTAGAATCACTAATATGACTCTAAATGATTATGCTCAAATGTTAGCTTTAAGATGTGGATTTTGAGAGAAAATAGTTTAGTCTGATGTACTTTGGTGAATATATGAGAACATGGAAATGAGCCCAGGACAGCAGCAATGTTTGCTCCTATGAAAATTTCAGTTCTTCTACGTTTCCACTGAGTTGGGCCAGGATTTTAGAACATAAAACCACTTTGGCCTTAGGCATTTCTTCTGGTTCTAACCTCTGACAGATTTGTGTTGTGTGAAACACCAAAGGTTAGGGTATTTGACTCTATTTATACAAGGGCAAATTTTTGAAGGAAAATGTTGACAAAGTCTCAGTCTGTCGCATCACACTTCAAATCCATTGTCTCTGGTTGTGTCATTAAGCCCTCTAAAATTGGTCTGCCACTCTTATCTGATAAATCAAAAGCAACACAAATGGAATAGAAAGTAGAATTTCACAGCAGAAACTGGAACAGATCTGAACTCAAGGAAGGTAAAAATAATTTATAGTTAAATAATTAAATAAAGCATAGGGGCAATAACTTGTATAATAGTGTAGAAATTGGGTTGCGGTTCATTATAACTTTTTAAAAAAAGAAGTGTCCCATGAAATGCTAAGAAATGTGTACTGAACACTGTGGAACATTAACTTGCATCCATACAAAAGTTGAACAAAAAGTCTTCACTGACTTTTCTGCTCCTTGCTACAACATTTGTTTTAAAGTGGACAACAGGACATATTAAAAAGAGATCTGTTTGTGTACATAACTAAAGCTGATGGGTGGAGACCTAAAAACACAAATGTTGTACTTTCCAGGAAGGCAGCCAATAATGAGCATTTCTTAACAGAGCTTTGTGTATGTGGGAGGAGGGGGAGGGGG